AACATCGGGACGCCGCGCTATCCAGAGCCAAAAGAACTTTATGGGGGTGGCGGCTCCAAACCGGCCCTCCGTTCGGAGTTACTCCTCCGAATTAGATTATTTTTGCCCCATGGACCCGCCACCTCACGCGAAGGTCGCTGCCTGTGTGCGCGTTAGTTAGCATTGGTATAAGGTGTAGATGAGCACACACGTAGTATATCTTCGTAGGAGCTGTAGAAAATATTTGTAGGCTCTCGTGACACATATTTCGGCCTCAATCGAAACTTTAGTACTTATTGGATATAGAATGACGTTTAAGGCTTCGTAGTACTGCTGTACTAATTTAACTTGCAATATTTTTTTCTTAGTACTATTATCAAGGCATTTTATATTTTTGCTTGCAGTCGTTTGTAGTAGTAGTACACATAATAATTATATCAGCGTTTAATAAAAAATAACAATTGTATTAATATTATTAATAATGTGAAAACTTTCAAATATGACTATGGTGGCTTACACCCCTGCACTGCCTCCGGGAGAAATATCACCTTCCTTTGTATTTGCGCGCGTAGTGTGTGACCTAAAGATATTATGTGAGCTTTCCAACAATATATGTAGCGACATCAAAAATGGGAACAACGTTTGTGATTAAGTTAGCGCGGAGGTACGTGACTAAGCAAGAGCACGAAATACGAAGTAACACCATGCCACACTGTGTACACGATGGGATAGAAGAGCAACACGAAGCACGGAAGGATGGACGATGATGGAAGACTTAGCCGATGCAAACCACAAAGTTGTATGCGTAGCGTGGAAGACGGAAGAGCACACAGCCATGAAAAGGACAGAAGGACAAGAAAATGACGGGAGCGTACGGGCCACGGAAGGGAACTACATATAAAGACACCCCAGCATGCTGAAATGCACGGGCTACGAAAGAGCACGCACGCTCGAAGCCACGGTAGAACACGTAACGGTAAGAGTACACGGACAGAAATTCTCCCGTAGCACCACGGCTAAACACGGAACG